ACCACTCACCCCACCACCCCCCTACCACTCGCCAACAGCAAAACACAATTCTTATTATTATTCAGAAGTCAAAATCCACAAATTAAATGCCTAAGAATTCCAAGTCGAAGTAAAACAATAGCCGCGCGCCTTCCTGCAGGCATTGTTGGTCCCGCGGTAATGGCCTCACGTGTCCTGTTGATGTTTTGCCAGCCCAGAGAGAGAGAGAATGAGCTCACGGAGAGAACACCTTGCCTCGAATCGCAATCGTCAACTCGAGACAAAACCCTAGCCCTAGAACCTAGAACCTAGCCCTAGAACCTAGCCCTAGCTCTAGAACCTAGCCCTAGAACCTAGCCCTAGCTCTAGAACCTAGCCCTAGAACCTAGCCCTAGAACCTTGCCCTAGAACCTAGCCCTAACTCTAGAACCTAGCCCTAGAACCTAGCCCTAGAACCTAGCCCTAGCACTAGAACCTAGCCCTAGAACCTAGAACCTAGCCCTAGAACCTAGCCCTAGAACCTAGCCCTAGAACCTAGCCCTAGCCCTAGAACCTAGAACTTAGCCCTAGAACCTAGCCCTAGCCCTAGAACCTAGAACCTAGCCCTAGAACCTAGCCCTAGAACCTAGAACCTAGCCCTAGAACCTAGCCCTAGCCCTAGAACCTAGAACCTAGCCCTAGCCCTAACTCTACCCCCAGCTCTCGCCCGAGGTCTACCCTTAACCCTACACCTCGCCCTAACTGTCGCCCTAACCCCAAGCTTAGCTCTAGCCCTGCCCTAGCCCTGACTCTATCACTGACTTTAAGCACGAACTCTAACCCTCGCCCTGACCTTATATCTAATCCTAACGCTAACCATAACCCGGACCCCGAACCCAATGTTTCTCCGTAGCCCTAACCTGAACTCGAGCCCTAACCCTTGACCTTAATCGCCTCTCTAACTCGAACGCTCTCTCTCCCTGCTGCGTGCGTGTGTGCGCTATGACTGAGTTCGGGCATGGTGGAGTATATGTGTGTGTGTGAGAGAGGGGGAGATTGGTGATCATGTGTGTGTGATGGGGGAGTGTGTGTGTGTGAGAGAGAGGGAGATTGGTGATCATGTGTGTGTGATGGGGGAGTGTGTGTGTGTGTGAGAGAGGGAGATTGGTGAACATGTGTGTGTGATGGGGGAGTGTGTGTGTGATGGGGGAGTGTGTGTGTGAGAGAGAGAGGGAGATTGGTGAACATGTGTGTGTGTGATGGGGGAGTGTGTGTGTGTGTGAGAGAGGGAGATTGGTGAACATGTGTGTGTGATGGGGGAGTGTGTGTGTGATGGGTGAGTGTGTGTGAAGGGTGAGTGTGTGTGTGAAGGGTGAGTGTGTGTGTGATGGGTGAGTGTGTGTGAGAGAGAGAGGGAGATTGGTGAACATGTGTGTGTGATGGGGGAGTGTGTGTGTGTGAGAGAGAGGGAGATTGGTGAACATGTGTGAGTGATGGGGGAGTGTGTGTGTGTGAGATAGAGGGAGATTGGTGAACATGTGTGTGTGATGGGGGAGTGTGTGTGTGATGGGTGAGTGTGTGTGTGAGATAGAGGGAGATTGGTGAACATGTGTGTGTGATGGGGGAGTGTGTGTGTGAGATAGAGGGAGATTGGTGAACATGTGTGTGTGATGGGGGAGTGTGTGTGTGATGGGTGAGTGTGTGTGTGAAGGGTGTGTGTGTGTGAGAGAGAGAGGGAGATTGGTGATCATGTGTGTGTGATGGGGGAGTGTGTGTGTGTGAGATAGAGGGAGATTGGTGAACATGTGTGTGATGGGGGAGTGTGTGTGTGAGAGAGAGGGAGATTGGTGAACATGTGTGTGTGATGGGGGAGTGTGTGTGTGATGGGTGAGTGTGTGTGTGATGGGTGAGTGTGTGTGTGAGATAGAGGGAGATTGGTGATCATGTGTGTGTGATGGGGGAGTGTGTGTGTGATGGGTGAGTGTGTGTGTGAAGGGTGAGTGTGTGTGTGATGGGTGAGTGTGTGTGTGAAGGGTGAGTGTGTGTGTGATGGGTGAGTGTGTGTGTGAGATAGAGGGAGATTGGTGATCATGTGTGTGTGATGGGGGAGTATGTGTGTGATGGGTGAGTGTGTGTGATGGGTGAGTGTTTATGTGATGAGTGAGTGTGTGTGTGATGAGTGAGTGTGTGTGTGATGGGTGAGTGTGTGTGTGATGGGTGAGTGTGTGTGATGGGTGAGTGTGTGTGTGATGGGTGAGTGTCTGTGTGATGGGGGAGTGTGTGTGTGATGGGTGAGTGTGTGTGTGATGGGGGAGTGTGTGTGTGATGGGTGACTATGTGTGTGATGGGTGAGTGTGTGTGTGATGGGTGAGTGTGTGTGTGTGATGAGGGAGTGTGTGTGTGTGTGTGAAGGGTGAGTGTGTGTGATGGGTGACTATTTGTGTGATGGGTGAGTGTGTGTGTGATGGGGGAGTGTGTGTGTGATGGGTGAGTGTGTGTGTGATGGGTGAATGTGTGTGTGATGGGTGAGTGTGTGTGTGATGGGGGAGTGTGTGTGTGATGGGTGAGTGTGTGTGTGATGGGGGAGTGTGTGTGTGAGAGAGAGGGAGATTGGTGATCATGTGTGTGTGATGGGTGAGTGTGTGTGTGATGGGGGAGTGTGTGTGTGATGGGTGAGTGTGTGTGTGATGGGTGAATGTGTGTGTGATGGGTGAGTGTGTGTGTGATGGGGGAGTGTGTGTGTGATGGGTGAGTGTGTGTGTGATGGGGGAGTGTGTGTGTGAGAGAGAGGGAGATTGGTGATCATGTGTGTGTGATGGGTGAGTGTGTGTGTGATGGGTGAGTGTGTGTGTGAAGGGTGTGTGTGTGTGTGAGAGAGAGGGAGATTGGTGATCATGTGTGTGTGATGGGTGAGTGTGTGTGTGATGGGTGAGTGTGTGTGTGAAGGGTGAGTGTGTGTGTGATGGGTGAGTGTGTGTGTGAAGGGTGAGTGTGTGTGTGATGGGTGAGTGTGTGTGTGAGATAGAGGGAGATTGGTGATCATGTGTGTGTGATGGGGGAGTGTGTGTGTGATGGGTCAGTGTGTGTGCGAAGGGTGAGTGTGTGTGTGAGATAGAGGAAGATTGGTGAACATGTGTGTGTGATGGGGGAGTGTGTGTGTGATGGGTGAGTGTGTGTGTGAAGGGTGAGTGTGTGTGTGATGGGTGAGTGTGTGTGTGAAGGGTGAGTGTGTGTGTGATGGGTGAGTGTGTGTGTGAGATATAGGGAGATTGGTGATCATGTGTGTGTGATGGGGGAGTGTGTGTGTGTATGGGTGAGTGTGTGTGTGAAGGGTGAGTGTGTGTGTGATGGGTAAGTGTGTGTGTGAGATAGAGGGAGATTGGTGATCATGTGTGTGTGATGGGGGAGTATGTGTGTGATGGGTGAGTGTGTGTGTGATGGGTGACTATGTGTGTGATGGGTAAGTGTGTGTGTGATGGGTGACTATGTGTGTGATGGGTGAGTGTGTGTGTGATGGGTGAGTGTGTGTGATGGGTGAGTGTGTGTGTGATGGGGGTGTGTGTGTGTGATGGGTGAGTGTGTGTGTGATGGGTGAGTGTGTGTGATGGGTGACTATTTGTGTGATGGGTGAGTGTGTGTGTGATGGGTGAGTGTGTGTGTGATGGGTGAGTGTGTGTGTGAAGGGTGAGTGTGTGTGTGATGGGTGAGTGTGTGTGTGATGGGGGAGTGTGTGTGTGATGGGTGAGTGTGTGTGATGGGTGAGTGTGTGTGTGATGGGGGTGTGTGTGTGTGATGTGTGAGTGTGTGTGATGGGTGAGTGTGTGTGATGGGTGACTATTTGTGTGATGGGTGAGTGTGTGTGTGATGGGGGAGTGTGTGTGTGATGGGTGAGTGTGTGTGTGATGGGTGAGTGTGTGTGTGATGGGGAAGTGTGTGTGTGATGGGTGAGTGTGTGTGTGATGGGTGAGTGTGTGTGTGATGGGTGAGTGTGTGTGATGGGGGAGTGTGTGTGTGATGGGTGAATGTGTGTGATGGGTGAGTATGTGTGTGATGGGTGACTACGTGTGTGATGGGTGAGTATGTGTGTGATGGGTGAGTATGTGTGTGATGAGGCAGTATGTGTGTGATGGGTGACTACGTGTGTGATGGGTGAGTATGTGTGTGATGAGTGAGTGTGTGTGTGATGGGTGAGTGAGTGTGTGTGATGGGTGAGTATGTGTGTGATGGGTGAGTATGTGTGTGATGAGTGAGTATGTGTGTGATGAGTATGTGTGTGATGGGTGAGTATGTGTGTGATGAGTGAGTGTGTGTGTGATGGGTGACTATATGTGCTGCCGCTGGCTCAAGAAGCACTTGCCCCAAGCGGTCTGACTCGAGACTACCTGGGGCGTCTTTGTCTTTGTGACGGGGCGGGTGACTGGGCGGAGTCTCCAAGTTTGAGGCTCGCGGGGAACGCAGCTCACACGCGCAGTCTCCACGCGTCCTCCACGTCTGTCTCCACGTCTCTCTCCACGTCTCCCCACGTCTCTCTCCACGTCTCCCCACGTCTCTCTCCACGTCTCCCCACGTCTCTCTCCACGTCTGTCTCCACGTCTCTCTCCACGTCTCTCTCCACGTCTCCCCACGTCTCTCTCCACGTCTCTCCACGTCTTCCCACGTCTCCTTGCGTCCTCCCCACGTCTCTCCACGTCTCTCCCCACGTCTCTCTCCACGTCTCTCCCCACGTCTCTCTCCACGTCTGTCTCCACGTCTCTCTCCACGTCTCCCCACGTCTCTCTCCACGTCTCCCCACGTCTCTCCCCACGTCTCTCCCCACGTCTCTCTCCACGTCTCCCCACGTCTCTCCCCACGTCGCTCCCCGCGTCTCCAGAACCACAGAGAGCGGAACAGCGACCGGGAGCAAAATCCTTGTGATCGGGGTTGGTTGGTGTGTGTACGTGTGTGTGTACGTGTGTGTACGTGTGTGTACGTGTGCCTGTGTACGTGTGCCTGTGTACGTGTGCGTGTGTACGTGTGTGTGTGTACGTGTGTGTACGTGTGTGTGCCGTGCCGATCTTCATAGGTGCTACTCGCTAACAGCACTTGCCCCAACAGTCTGTTAAGACTATAGGGGAGATCTTTGTCTTGTGTGTGTGTGTACGCGTGCCGTCTCCTCTCAGCGTCTTCATCTTCCCTCCCTCGCCGTGCGCGCTCCCTGCCGCCTGCCCCCCTCCCGCTCCGTCACCCCCCCACTCTCCCGTCTCACCTCGCCGCGTCTCGGTCTCTCTGCGTCTCCCACCACCACCACCACCACCCGCCCGGGTGCTCTCTCCTTCATTGTCGTCTCTCCTCGCCTCCCCACTCACTCGTTGCCATCTCTCCTTTACTCCCCCAACAATTTCCCTCTCTCCCAGCGCCACCACCACCACCACCGCCGCTCCCATCCCCACCGTCTCCTCTCCCTGCGGCTCGCCCCTCTCACGCATCCCGGTCGGGGCTCGGGTGGACACCCCGGAGTGAAGACCCAAAGACGGAGTGAGACACGGAGACAGAGAGACAGACAGACAGAGAGAGACACACACACAGAGATAGCAGGAGGTGGGGGGGAGCCCCTAACAACACAGAGACCGGCAAGGGAGACAACGCGGGATTTGGTGTCCACGTTCGAGAGACGCGGAGTCTCCTTCGTGAGTCGGTCTGTGAGACGCCGCCTTGTGCCAAGCTCTGCCGGAGACATGGACGGCCCAGTTCGAGTCTCGGTGCTGATGGTGCTGCTGCTGCTGCTGGCGTCACGGAGGGGTGACGCGTCCACCGCCAGCACTGGAACACGCGCTCGACCACGTGAGTAGAGGCCGAGTCGGGCCCAGAGTCTGTCTGTGAGTCCATCTGTGAGTCCATCTGTGAGTCGGTCTGTGAGTGAGTCGGTCTGTGAGTGAGTCGGTCTGTGAGTGAGTCGGTCTGTGAGTCCATCTGTGAGTCGGTCTGTGAATGAGTCGGTCTGTGAGTGAGTCGATCTGTGAGTCGGTCTGTGAATGAGTCGGTCTGTGAGTGAGTCGGTCTGTGAGTCGGTCTGTGAGTCGGTCTGTGAGTGAGTCGGTCTGTGAGTGAGTCGGTCTGTGAGTCAATCTGTGAGTCGGTCTGTGAATGAGTCGGTCTGTGAGTGAGTCCATCTGTGAGTCGGTCTGTGAATGAGTCGGTCTGTGAGTCCATCTGTGAGTCGGTCTGTGAATGAGTCGGTCTGTGAGTGAGTCGATCTGTGAGTCGGTCTGTGAATGAGTCGGTCTGTGAGTGAGTCGATCTGTGAGTCGGTCTGTGAGTGAGTCGGTCTGTGAGTGAGTCGGTCTGTGAGTCGGTCTGTGAGTGAGTCGGTCTGTGAGTGAGTTGGTCTGTGAGTCCATCTGTTAGTCGGTCTGTGAATGAGTCGGTCTGTGAGTGAGTCGGTCTGTGAGTCGGTCTGTGAGTGAGTCGGTCTGTGAGTGAGTCGGTCTGTGAGTCAATCTGTGAGTCGGTCTGTGAATGAGTCGGTCTGTGAGTGAGTCGGTCTGTGAGTGAGTCGATCTGTGAGTCGGTCTGTGAATGAGTCGGTCTGTGAGTCCATCTGTGAGTCGGTCTGTGAATGAGTCGGTCTGTGAGTGAGTCGATCTGTGAGTCGGTCTGTGAGTCGGTCTGTGAGTCGGTCTGTGAGTCGGTCTGTGAGTGAGTCGGTCTGTGAGTGAGTTGGTCTGTGAGTCCATCTGTTAGTCGGTCTGTGAATGAGTCGGCATGTCTGTGAGTCGGTCTGTGAGTCGGTCTGTGAATGAGTCGGTCTGTGAATGAGTCGGTCTGTGAGTCCATCTGTGAGTCGGTCTGTGAGTGAGTCGGTCTGTGAGTGAGTCGGTCTGTGAGTCAATCTGTGAGTCGGTCTGTGAATGAGTCGGTCTGTGAGTGAGTCGATCTGTGAGTCGGTCTGTGAGTGAGTCGGTCTGTGAGCGAGTCGGTCTTTGCTTCGGCGAGTCTGATGGTAAGTTTGTGAGTCGGTCTGTGAGTGAGTCGGTCTTGAGTGAGTCGGTCTGTGAGTGAGTCGGTCTGTGAGCGAGTCGATCCGTGCTTCGGCGAGTCTGATGGTAAGTCTGTGAGTCGGTCTGTGAGTGAGTCGGTCTGTGAGTGAGTCGGTCTTGAGTGAGTCGGTCTGTGAGTGAGTCGGTCTGTGAGTGAGTCGATCCGTGCTTCGGCGAGTCTGATGGAAAGTTTGTGAGTCGGTCTGTGAGTGAGTCGGTCTTGAGTGAGTCGGTCTGTGAGTGAGTCGGTCTGTGAGTGAGTGAGTCGATCCGTGCTTCGGCGAGTCTGATGGTAAGTCTGTGAGTCGGTCTGTGAGTGAGTCCATCTGTGAGTCGGTCTCCGAGTGAGCGAGTTAGTTTGTGAGTCAGTGTGCGACTCACTGGGTTTGTGGGTTAGTACGGGAGTCAGCGTGTGAGTCAGTCCGCTTTGAGTCGATGATGAACCCATCTGACTAAACACCCTGTGCATTCACTCACTCACTCAGACACCCAATTATTCATTCACTCAATCACTCACTCAATCACTCACAGACACATTCACTCACTAATTCACTCACTAATTCACTCACTCATTCACTCACTCATTCACTCACTCAATCACTCACAGACACATTCACTCACTCACTCAGACACATTCACTCACTCATTCACTCAATCACTCACTCAATCACTCACAGACACACTCATTCACAGACACATTCACTCACTCACTCATTCACAGACACATTCACTCACTCACAGACACATTCACTCACTCACTCACAGACACATTCACTCATTCACTCACTCACTCACAGACACATTCACACACTCATTCACTCACTCACCCGCTCACTCAATCACTTACAGACACATTCACTCACTCACAGACATATTCACTCAATCACTCACAGACACACTCACTCATTCACTCATTCACTCACTCAATCACTCACAGACACATTCACTCATTCACTCAGACACATTCACTCACTCACTCATTCACTCAATCACTCACTCATTCACTCACAGACACATTCACTCACTCACTCAGACACATTCACTCATTCACTCACTCATTCACTCAATCACTCACTCAATCACTCACAGACACATTCACTCACTCACTCACAGACACATTCACTCACTCATTCACTCACTCATTCACTCAATCACTCACAGACACATTCACTCAATCACTCACTCACAGACACATTCACTCAATCACTCATTCACTCACTCATTCACTCAATCACCCACAGACACATTCACTCACTCACAGACACGTTCACTCACTCATTCACTCACTCACCCGCTCACTCAATCACTCACAGACACATTCACTCATTCACAGACACATTCACTCAATCACTGAGGAACATTCACTCACTCATTCACCCGCTCACTCAATCACTCACAGACACATTCACTCACTCACTCACAGACATATTCACTCAATCACTCACATACACATTCACTCACTCACTCACTCATTCACTCAATCACTCACTCATTCACTCACAGACACATTCACTCACTCAGACACATTCACTCATTCACTCACTCATTCACTCAATCACTCACTCAATCACTCACAGACACATTCACTCACTCACAGACACATTCACTCACTTATTCACTCACTCATTCACTCAATCACTCACAGACACATTCACTTAATCACTCACTCACAGACACATTCACTCAATCACTCATTCACTCACTCATTCACTCAATCACCCACAGACACATTCACTCACTCACAGATACATTCACTCACTCATTCACTCACTCACCCGCTCACTCAATCACTCACAGACACATTCACTCATTCACAGACACATTCACTCAATCACTGAGACACATTCACTCACTCATTCACTCACTCACCCGCTCACTCAATCACTCACAGACACATTCACTCAATCACTCACAGACACATTCACTCACTCATTCACTCACTCAATCACTTACAGACACATTCACTCACTCATTCACTCACTCACCCGCTCAGTAAATCACAGACACATTCACTCACTCACCCGCTCACTAAATCACTGAGACACATTCACTCACTCATTCACTCACTCACCCGCTAGCTCACTCCCAGGCAAACCCACCCATTCCCTCATCCAATCACTCACTTAGTAACTCTCTAATTTACTCACTCACTCATTAACCCGTTCACTCCCACACCTCACTCACGAGCCCAGTAGCTCACTAATTGACTTACCCTTTCACTCACTCGTGTATTTACTCACTCATATACTCACGAACTGAGAGTTATTAACTTAATTGCTCACTCACTAATGTATTTGTCACAGTCATCCACAGCCATTAACTAATTCACCTGCCCATCCGTTCACTCACCAACTCACTCACGTACTCACTCACTCATTTACTCACCCGCTCACTCATTAATTAACTAACTCACTCACTCATTTACCCACTCGCTCACAGGCTCACCCACCCACTCACTCACAGGCTCACTCACTCACTCACAGGCTCATCCGCTCACTCACCCACAGGCTCACCCACTCACTCACAGGCTCACTCACAGGCTCACTCACTCACAGGCTCACTCACTCACAGGCTCACCCACTCACTCACAGGGTCACCCACCCACTCACTCACAGGCTCACCCACTCACTCACAGGCTCACTCACTCACTCACAGGCTCACCCACTCACTCACAGGTTCACCCACTCACCCACAGGCTCACCCACTCACTCACAGGCTCACCCACCCACTCACTCACCTTCTCACTCACTCACTCACAGGCTCACCCACTCACTCACAGGTTCACCCACTCACTCACAGGCTCACTCACTCACAGTCTCACCAACTCACTCACAGGCTCACCCACTCACTCACAGGCTCACCCACCCACTCACTGACAGGCTCACCCACTCACTCGCCTTCTCACTCACTCACCTTCTCACTCACTCACAAGCTCACCCACTCACTCACAGGCTCACCCACTCACTCACAGGCTCACTCACTCACTCACCTTCTCACTCACTCACCCTCTCACTCGCCCATCATTATAATGGGCACACTCCCTGTTCACCCGCTCACTCTCTGCTTTATTGTTCCACCGCCCTTGCCCGTTAAACTCCCCTATCGTGAATCACCGAAAAGGAATTCACGACGGAGTCCGCTTGTGTGCGTGTTCACGGGGAGCGGTGGTGCTACGGTTCGCGCTACGCTGCGCTTCGACCCCGAGTTCCATTCCCGCTCACGGCCATCGCCAATGACGATTAACTGAACCGGTCCTGGGCCTCCTCTAGGTCGACTCAGCCTCAAATGAGTACCTGGTGCGGTGTGTAGTAAACATCGCCACTGGGGAGACAAAGGCGGCCGGCCGTGGTGCTGGCCACCCACTCCCTCGTGTGCCGTGCCGGCCGTAATCGGGTGCTCGCCATAACGGCACTTGCCCCAGCAGTCTGACGAAGGCTATGTGGGGGATCTTTGTCTTTGTATTTGTTTGTGTGTATGGGGGGAGAGGCAGTGTAGGGGTTCGTGCGCTGCGCTACGAACCGGCGACGCGAGTTCGATCCCCGCTCACGACCAATAACAGTGCCGAATATTTGAACCGGTCCTGTGCCTCCCCTAGGTCGACTCAACCTCGAATGAGTCCCCGGTGCAATGTGTAAATATTACTGTTGGGGAGGCAAAGGCCGCAGAGTCAGCATCAACAGATGATGCTGCTGATGCTGCTGATGATGTTGCTGATGCTGCTGCTGATGCTGCTGATGCTGCTGATGATGATACTGCTGAAGCTGCTGATGCTGCCGATGATGATGCTGATGCTGCTGATGCTGC